ACACACATGAAGAAAATGGAAGGATCACAAATTAACAGCCTAACAAGCCACCTAAGAAAGCTAGAAAAGCAAGACCACCAAAACCCTAACTTCAGCAGAAGAATCCAGATCACCAAAATAAAAGCCCAAATTCAGGACATAGCAGACAAAAAGATAATACAAAAAAATCAATGAAACAAAAAGCTGGTTCTTTGAAAGGATAAATAAGATCGATGGTCCCCTAGCTAGACTGACCAAGAAAAAGAGAGAAAAAGCCGAAATAAACACAATCAGAAACACAAAAGATGAAATCACATCTGATGCTGAAGAAATACAAAAGATCATCAGAGACTGCTATGTGCACTTGTATGGGAACAAACTTGAAAACCTTAAGGAAATGGAGGACTTTCTGACATCACATAACCTGCCTAGGTTGAAACAAGAAGAAATTGAGACCCTAAGTAGACCAATAACAATCAAGGAAATTGACGACGTAATAAGAAATCTACCTACAAAAAAAAGCCCTGGACCAGATGGCTTTCCAGTAGAATTCTACAAGACATTTAAGGAGGAGCTGATACCAGTCCTAGTGAAGGTATTCCAGGCGGTTGAGAAAGATGGAACTCTCCCCAAATCATTTTATGAAGCTAACATCACATTGATAACCCAAGCCAGGTAAAGACCAACAAAGAAAGAAAACTACAGGCCAATATCTTTGATGAACATAGATGCTAAAATTCTCAACAAGATCCTAGCAAATGAGATTCAACAACACATCTCAGAAATCATCCAACATGATCAAGTAGGCTTCATCCCTGGGACACAAGGCTGGTTCAACATTCGTAAAATCATAAATGTAATTAAATACATCAACAGATGTCAAAACAAAAACCACATGATTATATCATTAGATGCAGAAAAAGCTTTTGATGAAATCCAGCATCCCTTCTTGATAAAAACCCTTGAACGTCTAGGCATACGGGGAACATACTTCAAAATAGTAAAAGCCATCTATGAGAAACCCACAGCCAGCATACTCCTAAATGGACAAAATTGGAATCATTTACCCTGAAAACTGGAACAAGACAAGGATGCCCGCTCTCACCCTTCCTGTTCAATATAGTATTGGAAGTCCTGGTTAGAGCAATCAGAGAAGAGAAGGCAATCAGGGGTATCCAAATAGGAAAAGAGGAAGTCAAGTTATGTCTCTTTGCAGACAACATGATTGTGTACCTTGAAAACTCAAGAGAATCTGTCAAAAACGTCCTTACACTGATAAAGGATTTTGGCAGTCTCAGGGTATAAAGTAAATGTGCAAAAGACAATTGCATTTCTTTACAGCAATAATAAACGGAAACCCAAATAAAAAGCACAATTCCATTCACAATAGCCACATACACAAAAAAAATATCTTGGCATCTTTCTAACCAGAAACGTGAAAGACCTTTACAATGAAAACTACAAAACACTGCTCAAAGAAATCAAAGATGACACAAACAAGTGGAAAAATATCCCCTGCTCATGGATTGGAAGAATCAACATTGTGAAGATGTCCATCCTACCTAAGGCAATCTACAGATTTAATGCAATACCCATCAAATTACCAGCAACATTCTTCTCAGACCTAGAAAAAAAATACAGGAATTCATATGGAAACACAAACGACCAAGAATAGCCAGAACAATCCTCAGCAAAAAACAAGCAAACAAACAAAAAACAAAGCAGGAGGTATCACATTACCAGACTTCAAACTTTACTATAAAGCTACAATAATCAAAACAGCTTGGTATTGGTACAGGAACAGGCATATAGACCAATGGAATAGAATTGAGATTCCAGAAGCAAAACCTCAATTTATCAACCAACTCATCTTTGACAAAGCCTCCACCACCTACCACTGGGGAGAGGAGAACCTATTCAGTAAATGGTGCTGGGAAAACTGGCTGACCACATGCAGAAGACTCAAACAAGATCCCTATCTATCTCCATACACACAAATTAACTCTAAATGAATCAGAGACCTAAATGTAAAACCTCAAACCATAAGAACCTTAGAAAATGTAGGACACACTCTTATGGAAACTGGAACTGGCATCCAATTCCTGAGCAATACCTGAAACGCACGGACCATAAGAGATATGATAGACAAGTGTGACCTCATTAAACTGACAAGCTTCTGCAAAGCCAAAGACACCATCAAGAGAGCAGGGAGACAGTCCACAGACTGGGAAAATGTATTTGCCAACTCCAGGTCTGACAAAGGCCTAACATCTTGGATCTACAAGGAACTCAAACGTACTGAAAAGAAAAAAACAAACAACCCCATTACAAAGTGGACAAAAGATATGTCCACTTCCTTCTCAAAGGAAGACGTACTAGTGGCCAATGGACACATGAAGAAATGTTCAACCTTACTAATCATCAAGGAGATACAAATCAAAACTACACTGAGATACCACCTAACTCCAGTCAGAATGGCAATTATCAATAACTCAAAAAATAGCAGATGCTGGAGAGGATGTGGTGAAATGGGAACACTTCTACACTGTTGGTGGGAGTGTAAACTAGTGCAACCTCTGTGGAAAGCAGTGTGGCGATTCCTAAAAGCTCTAAATATCGACCTCCCATATGACCCTGCAATCCTCCTGCTGGGAATATACCCCGAAGAACTCAAATCACTCTATCAAAAAGATACCTGAACACGTATGTTTATCACAGCATTGTTCACGATAGCAAGGACCTGGAACCAACCATGCTGTCCATCAAAAGTGGATTGGATAAAAAAAAATATGGTACATATACACAATGGACTACTATGCAGCCATAAAAAAGGACAAAATCTTGAATTTCGCAGCAACCTGGCTGGAACTAGAGTCTATAATACTGAGTGATCTCTCACAGAAACAAAGATCTGAGTATTACATGTTCTCACTCATATAGTGGACCTTGAATATCTATCATAATACTAAAAGAAAAGAACTGACAGCGGTCGGAAACTATGGGAGGGGATAGGGAGGGGAAGGGAGTAGGGACTAACGGTAGCGAATATCTGTCTGGGGACGGGGAGACACCCCTTATCAACAAGGGTGCCTGAATGATGCATATTTGTAAACCTAACCCTTAACTGTACCCCACAATTTTAAAATAAAAAATAAAATAAAAAGCAGTTTGTAGAGTGATATGATTCCACGAGGGAAAACAAAATAGAAGGCTAAAGAGCTGCTTATATGCTAGTGTGTGTACATTCTTACGAGTGTGTGGAACGCTGTTTGAAGCTGCACACACAGTATATTGGTTATCTTGAAAAGTAGGGAGTGGGAGAACTTTTCTTTTTAAACTTTTCTATGGGTTGACTTGTTAAAACATGTTTGAATTTTGTAATGTAAAACCAAAAAAAAAGAAAAATTAAGTGAAAAATAAAGAACGAAATGGAACAGGGGGTGACCAAAAGAATAGAAGACTGGGAGAGTGTAGTTCCTTAAAGCAAGAAAAGAGAGCATTTCCAGGGCGAGTGGTTACACATGTCAAGGACTGCTTGATAGCAAGTAAGGAAAGGACAGAGAAGCATTTGCTGCGTTTAGTGGGTTCCCTTAGCTAGGAGCCTTGATGACCTCATAGAGTCAGTGGGCTCTTGGGCTGCAGGGCTACTGGAGGAGCCAAGGGATGGATACGCAGGAGGGCAGGGAGTAGAAACGTGGGTAGACTGTTGGTCCAAGCAGTCTGTGAAGTGGATGAGGGAGAATCCAGGGGGCGCTGTGGAGTCCAGCAAGATTCTTTTCTTTCCTTTTAACATGTTTGTTTTTTGAATGGGAGAGACTTGAGGCCCTTGTTCCTGTGTACACATGGCACGCTCATGCATCTTACTGGCACAGTAGAAGGCGGAGCAGGGCAACTGAGAAGGTAGGGCTGAGCAGGGGGAGTGTTGTGATGAGCAGCTTCCAGGATGCAGGAGGAGAAGGGGCGGGGTTAGTGTGTACAGATGGAGGACGTTCCTCCAAGGCCCCCCCTGCGGCCTTGGAGTCCTAAAGCCTCGGTGGGGACACCACCCCCATCCATGACTGCTGAGCCCTCCTGAGGACCTGTTTAAAAATTTTATATTTGAATTGGAACTGGTGCAACCAAAGATGAGTTATTAAGGGCTACTAAAATTTGGTATTCCCAAATTAAAGTCAGCAGCTTCTGGAGTTATTTTAGTTCAGTGTTTTGTTCAGAGGTCTGGCTGACACTTGGTGTATGACAATAATCCAGCAGCACATGCCTGTCACCGTCAGTTCCACAGTGGTGATCACCAGCGTTGGTGTGAGTTGCTGAGGGTGTTCGGTTGCTGCTATTCTTGCTTTTGACCCATAAATTACAGCACATTTAATTTGAGCATTACCGGTTTAGCTATTGTGGGGTATTTGGTTGACCTCGCAATGTCTGCTGGCGCATGCTTGGATTAGTGTGTTGTACAACATTGTTCTGAGAACTGGACCTTTAAGGTATGTGTGTCCTTGTGCTTCATGTGTGAATTACCCATAACTGTTTGCTAGAGTAGATGTGTACCTCTCCGCCTGCCGCTTGTGTGTGTGTGGCAAGCTTCATGGTGGTGTGCTTCCTGGGAATTTGTGCTGTGTAAATAAAATATACTGTTAATGTAGGTGTGATAAAATTACTGGATATTTTTAATGTTTTGTTGATGTCTTAGGCTACAAATCATATTTACTACAGTTTGTTAATTGTGTTTTTGTCTGATTCTGTTACCACCAGATTTACTACCTACCTTCAACTCCAGAATGTGGGAACAAGTGAGATAGGCGGGGTCTTTTGTCTTGCTGTGGTGGGCTTTGCTCAGCAAGTTTGAAAGCAAGTTTGAAAGTCACTCTGAAGGAGTGACTGGGCCTGTGGCAGGAGATGTGCTAGCTGCCAGGTTGGAAGGAGGGAGCCACACAGCCATGGCTTCAGTGCCCGTGAACACATCACTAAGCAGGGGTTTCCAGAGCAGGTGCTGATGATGTCATGTTTTCTATTTCCTGTTTCAGGATGTAAACGAAGACCCTGGAGAAGATGTAGCTCTCCTTTCTGTCAGTTTTGAGGACACTGAAGCTACCCAAGTGTACCCCAAGCTGTATTTGTCACCCCGAATCGAGCAGTAAGTATCAGTGTCATTAATGTTATGTGGCCTGTTGCTGCTTTTTACTAACCAATGTGTCTCACTCTCTCTTTTGCCACTCTTGAACTCTTAAAATTATTTCTCTTTTTCGACTTTTGTCTTCTTAAACTCATCATACTGAGAGTTTAGATTGTCGAGTAAATGGTGTTATTCTTTGCCACTGCAGTCTTCTGGTGAGTGTCAGTTGTGCAGTTTGTGATATGAACACAGCTGGGAGAGAAAAGCAGGAGAATAGGAGAGCAGGCTGACTGAGTTTGAAATGGGGTCTCCTCCAGGCTGTTCCCTGGGGTGCAAGGATGTGCAGCCCAAGGAAGGCTACCATCAGTGGCTGACCCTGCTTCCTATATATGAGAGGTGCTTGTAAAAACGTAGTGAGTCTCCTTATATATTAAGCAAAAATGTATTCAGAAGCGAGTAAAGGTAATATTAAAAGAAGATCGCTTATGGGCAGGAATGGTGACCTGTCATCCCAGCACTTTGGAAGGCAGAGGCGAGAGGATTGCCTGGGCCCAGGGTCCGAGACCAGCCTGTCCAACTTGGCAAGACCTCATCTCTACAATCAATCAAAAAATTAGCCAGGTGTGATGGCATATGCCTATAGTCCCAGCTACTTGGAAGGCTGAGGCACAAGGATCGCCTGAGCTCAGCAGGTTGAGGCTGCGTTAGCCGTGAGCATGCCACTGCACTCCAGCATGAGCAACAGAGAGACTCCAACTCAAAAAAAAAGTAGATACCTTAAAAAGATAACACATTAGAATTGTTTGTCATTGTCTGAATAACTGTATATCATTTTACCCAGCATCCAGGCTACATGGTAGATGTAGTCTGATATGACATTTGTGTTCTAACCAAATAACTTTACTCATCAGTGATTAATTTATAAGGACTGGCTTCACAGTGTGCTTAGTGTTGGCTTTAGTAGCTCCTTCTACTTCAAAGAAAGCTGAGGTTCACTGAAAACGGATTATAAGCAGATTCGATTAGGAACTTCTGACAGGACACATTTTTCATCAGCAGAGAGAATTTTCACAGACTCTGATTGAAATGTGTTATTAAAATTCCCTTTGAGTCACTCAGCCAGGGTTGACTGATTTATATCTGTGAGTAGTCACATATGCGAAGTCATCTTTACCCCCTCTGACCTCAGCTGCTCTGATTTATGAACCACAGACACACTGGCTCACAGACTGATGTGGCACAGCGGTTTACACCCAATCTGGAGACTATGAGCGTCTGTAATCTGCAGGCATCCCTCGTTTATTTATGACTGGCAGCACGTAGGACAGGATTTTACAGCAGCAGGCACCCAACAGTTGCTTTGTTGTGGTGTTGAAAATTCTGGACCCTGTCAGTAAAGCGGCCAAGGGGTGCGAGAGGAAGTTTGGTGAAGTGGTCAAAAAGGCCAGGACTCTGGAGTTCTGCATGTCTAGCTTCAGCCTGGGTACTGCCACCCACCAGCTGGCAAAATATTTGACGCCTCTGAGCTTACTTCTTCAGTCAGAAAATAAGGATGTTAATACCTTTCTCATAGTGTTGCTTCCAGGATTATGTTAGATGCTGCTCGGAAAACCTTCACCGCACATGGTGCCTGGCACTCCAGCTAACACTTAGCAGGTAGCAGCTGTTGCTGATGTTATGGGTATGGTCGATAGGAGAGAATGAGTGAGTGAGTGGCCAGCAGGGACAAGTTGTGCAGCAAAGGAGCAACACGTGAGCAAATACCTGCCTTAGAGTGGCCGCTCCGTGTGAAACTGGGCGTCCAGTCAGGAAGGCGTGTGTGTTGGTGATGAGAAAAGAGAGTCAGTGAAACAGTCACCAGATGTAGGGATATGAGTATTTTAGTTAAGCTGCAGGCAAGAATTTTCTGGCACAGAAAAACATTTTTTCCTGCAGCCAGGTTATTTTTCTTTGAAGTTATGCATGCGCCCAAATTGCAGATAAACTTGCTAATAAAATGTTCTCTCCATACAAATCTACAATATGATGTGGAAAATGATTAAGGAAGGTTATATTTTAAAAGTCACTTTTTCTGTTTCTAAAATCTGGCTTTCCACATGTCCTCCCTCTCTTTGAATGTTAAGAGCTGGCCACAGTGCACCTTTCCAGCCCAGCTTTCTGTGACGACTTCTCACATGGCCTGTCCTTCAGTCAGATGTGCTTGCTTGCCATTTTCTTAAGTTGCCTGCACTCCTTTGCCGCTGAGCTTTTGCCATAGCTATTTCTTCTATGTATAATGCCTTTCCCTAAACCCCTCTTCCTGCTGAACTATTATCCATTTTCTAGGCCTTTTCAAATGCCATCTCTACCAACCGTTTTCCCTCAGCACAATTAGCCTAGCCTTCCCCAGAGCTCTCTGCAACACTGAGTTTATATAATCTTATAATCTATATTTATGTTATAATCTACTCATTCTAGCTTTAGTTGGTGATATGCGTTTTTAAAAATTTTTTGCTAAAATCTAGGGTAAGAAACAAGTTTTTTCATTTCATGGATGCCGAACGCAAATGCAACGCATAGTTGTCAATTGCCTGGTGGGCAGTCTTCTAGGTTAATAAGAAATTTCCACCAAAATATTAGAAAATGCATCACTGGAAAGTCTTACACTTTTCTTGGTTGATACAGATTTACTTGGTAGAATTATATTTGTAATACTGAAGTAAACTGCCAGACATTGATATATCCCTAAGTAGAAGTTTCGGCATGAGGGTTTAGAGCAAGGTTAACACGGAAAGTAATAAGCTTGGGGTATGGCTTCCTAAGTGCTTACATATTTGCTAAAGTTACTGATACCTTTGGTTAACTGTTGCAGCATTCAAAGCACAGAATAGAAGCAATGCCATTCCTTGAAGGCTGCAGTCATGGGATAGGTTTTAAGAACTGACTGAGAGGGATTGGTACTATCTTTGATACTATGTTAAGCTCTCATTTACTTTCAGTGTGCTATACTGTCCTGTTAACTCTTAGCTAGCCATGCATTGTTGTAGACTCAGACTTGGAGAGTTCTTTCAGGAGTCCTGAGAAGAGCATCCCAGGTGGACCCGCCTGGCACTGATGCCACACTCCTGCCCTCACTGAGGGTTGGCCTCCTTTTAGCTTCTGTTGTGGCTCTTTCTAGGAAGTTTCGAGCCCATGCGTGCATTGAACAAGTAGAGGCTCAGGGGAGACCAGTTGTCCCACCCACACTGGGTACAAATGGTCATGAGAAGGCCCACATGCCCTGTGTCTTCCAGGAGGAAAGAGGGAAGAGAGATGCCTTGAGCCTGGGAAAAGCACCCCTCCAGTGTGGCTGTTATCTCTCTGCTCCAGCTTGTTCAATCTGTGGGCAAGGGTATTACACTTACATTAACTAGTTCCAGAAATAGGAAAATAAAATGATTCCTTTTGGGTCTTGTTACCACATGCAAGAAAAGATCAACTTGTTGTACCCTAAAGAAGACATGGATACCAAATGTCCCAAAGTAGGATATCCCAACAAAAGGGAGCATCTGTCAGATACTTGGCAGCAAACTCCCAGGAGCGTTACGATTTGATGATGCTCTGAGGTGTGAGCCCGCTTCTGAGCCTATTAACCCAGAGCCCTGGAGCGGATGCCTGGTGTCTCTGGGAGCCCTGGCGTATGCAACTGCGAACGCTTCTCATGCTTAGATGTGCATTGCTTCCTGCAGGGCACTGCACATGTATATGGTTCACGAGTAAATGCTTCCAGAAGCACTTTGTGTTCTTGCACAAGGGGCATTTATGAAATAAACATATTTCAGATCCTATACATTTGTTTTCCAAGGAACCAGAACCAGTCAGCTGACTTATTAAGTTCTGTTCACTTCACAAAAAAAAAAGATCAGTAATGAGTTATTTAAAAAAACAGCTAATGATGCAAACTGGATCTTGGTTGAATATCAGGAAAGGGGGAAAGATAGTTTCTAAACCAGTGCCATTTTTTTTTCCTGGCAGAAAGTCTGTGAGTTTTAAGGTTGTGTCATCAGAGCTGACACTAAATGTGCCCTATCCTTTGCTTGTTCCCAGACCACTGGCAGTTCTAGCAGTGAAAGCGAAGGTTAAATGGGTGTCAAAGTCTGCAGAGTCCTCTTCTCTGAAAGGTGTGGGCCTCTGCTTGGCATGGGCCAGTTTGTGGGAGTGGTTTGAAGAAAGCCAGCTTTGTCACTCCCTGTGCTGTTCCCACTCGGTGCATTAAAAAAAAAAAAAAAGGACTTCAGCCCTGAGGCAGATCAGGTGGCATCTTTCACAAGTACAGGATTTGTTTTTAGAACTTTTTGTTAAGTCACAGTCCGCCTTGGAAATCAGTCCTCAAAGCTTACCAGCCCACAGACGCTCACTGTTGGAGAGGCTGGTGTACCTGCAAGAGTGTCCGTTCACACTTGCAAGCAGCAGAAGCCCAGGGAGAGCTGACTACGTGTGAGACCCTTGCTGTGTGCTCCAGCCATCAAGATGAAGGAGACATGGCCCAGGCCCTTGGTTTAAAATAGTTACCAGCTGGGCTCGGTGGCTCAGCCTGTAATCCCGCTCCTTTGGGAGGCTGAGGTGAGTGGATTGCCTGAGCCCGCGGGTTCAAGACCCACCTGGGCAGTGAGACTTCATCTCTACAATAAATCAAAAAAATCAGCCGGGCGTGGTAGCGCATGCCTGTAATTCCGGCTACTTGGAAGGCTGAGGCGGAAGGATCGCCAGAGCCCAGCAGGTCGAGGCTGCGGTGGCCGGGAGCGGCCACTGCACTCCAGTCTGGGCAACAGAGTGAGACTCCAACTCAAAAAATAATAATAAATAAAATAGTTACCATGTGATCAGGGGATGAGAGCAAGTAGGACAAGTTGTAGCTGCTGATGGAGTATGGAGGCATATGGGCATGTAGCCTCTGTCCATTCCACTGTTACCTGGCCATCTCGGCTCAAGTGAGAGGAGCGTCTTGAGCTCCACTTCATCTTGTAAACCTTTCAGCTTCACCAACTCCAAGCTGGGCTATC